CAATACTACAACTGTGGCTGGAGATTAGATCCTCTTTTCCTTCTCTATACATCTTACGTAAGTAGTTGTGCCCCCTTCTGCTCTCTGCAGTTCATTAAGGCTAAAGTAGACAGGCTTTTTAGTTCTGTTTTCAAATGTGCTTTTAGGTTTTTGACATTTTTTTTAAGCCATGAGACAGAAAGTAAGGAGTAAAAAGGCTGCCGCGGTCGAGTCCAAACCTTTTTACTGTAAGCTGGTTGCTGCTACCAAAAGAATTTGACTGTGGTTTCGCCCTATCTACTTTAAATACACACAGCACTGTATATCTCCTGGAGGTCTAACTCAGACCTTTTTGTGTGCGAGGGAAGTAAGGTAACACACACTCCTCCTGAGGTCGTAGCTGGGTTAGGATTAGTGTAGGTTCATTTCAGTTCAATTCTAAAACGCTAAGATCAAAACCAGACTGTAGCTTTGTGGTTGAAATCCATATAGAGGGCGTTGCATAATCCAGACAAAGAGCTTTTCAGTATTTGATATTCAAAAGGACTGAATTCCCAGAAAGAGCTGAATTGAAAAGTAAATATACCCACAGCCCGTCACACTGCCTTTCTTCCTGAAAACTATCAGGGTCCTGCAGGATTCAAAAGGTCCAGACCTTGTAAACACTAATGACCTCATGTTTACGTAGTGAACCACCTCAACCAATCAGAGAGAGAGAGAGAGAGAGCTCACAAACACTCAGGACCTATAAAACACAGTTTCCCACCAGCACAGCAAATCACCATCTACTTCCCAGACAGTTCAGCCAATCATCTCGGCTCATCTTCCAGAGCTCTGTGGCCAATCAGGGAGTGCTCTGTTGGAGTCCACTTCCTAGAGGAGTTCAGAGGAGGGAAGAGATTTTACAGTTTGAGTTGTCTCACTGACTGCTGGTGCTCAGTTTGGGGGTGTTTGTTGGGGGGGTAACGAGAGATGGACTGGGAGTTCTGGACCAAGCAGCTGGATGAGGAGGTTCTGGTTGAAAATGGTGAGTGTGGGACCCACGAAGAGCTTTTGTTTGTAGCTCTTTGATTACACTCTCAAGCTGTCATGAATGAGGAGTTTTAAATGTAGTTGTGAAGACCGGCTGTCGTCCCCCCTCTCTGAGTTAGACTGCTGACGCAGGTTGTGCTTGAATAACCAGTTGTATGGGCTTCTTCTTCTTCTTCTTCTTCTTCTTCTTCTTCTTCTTCTTCTTCTTCTTCTTCCTTCTTCTTCTTCACCACCTTCACTGCAGCCGTAAACTGCGTCAAATGCCTCACAGCTTCAGGTTGAATTGGAGCTTTGTTGTGTTTTCGCCGATACCTTTAACACGGTGGAGTTTAATCATTAAGACTAAGTTTTATGATCCGTCGTGCAACATGTGAGTCACGCGGTTTATGTTTTTATACTGCATCTTGCATGAGAAAAATAGACACTTTTTTGGGGTGCTCGGTGTGTGTGTGTGTGTGTGTGTGTGTGTGTGTGTGTGTGTGTGTGTGTGTGTGTGTGTGTGTGTGTGGTTCTACAGCGACAGATAACACAATGAATACCACACACACTCTTATCTGTGTGTGTTGGTGTGTTTCCTACTTCCATCCATGTTTGGGGTCACAGAGGCTGTTTTGTCCCTTTCTGTGCGGTCATGACTTCACAGCTGAGGACAGACTCACTTCTTTTCTTTCCTTTCTTTATATAGAGCAGTGACTATTAACCTCTTTCTAATGGCTTCAGCTCACTTTCTGTGTATATTACGCTGTATATTCTAGTTTATGTGTGTCCTTGTGTCAGATGTGACCCTTTTTTAATTATTGAAAATGACAAATTCTTCTTGTGTTATCCTCTTCTAGGGTGTTTGGGTTATGTGATTGTATGTTCTCAAAGCTTTACTGAGTCTCTATCAGCTATATCGAATAAGGTGCAAAGGTCAGTGACTGTTGTTGTGTTTTTTAATGGAGCAAATCCACCTTAAATAGAAAGACATGACCTTTGGTAAGAGAAATGGTTTTATCTTTAGCAACCTAGCTATTATTTACTCTATGAATAATAATCTCATCACAGAGAAGAGATCCAACCAGACTCTATAGGGTTGGGGAATATGACAGTATATAACTTGAGACAGAGATTTTGGTTGACCGTATTTAATGTAAAAGTAGATTCATCAAAAACCAACATTCCTGTCTTGTCATTTTATTTATAATCAGTTTTTAAATCCTGAGTTTCAAGAATATATACTACTAATATCAAAATAGATTCTATATATACTGAAATATGATTAAAAAGGATCACTTATATTGTGATAGAAGGTCTAAACTGTCAAAGACATTGGGTGTTTTTGTGCTTTCTCCTGTCTCTTTGGCTTGTTGGCATAATGATGTCCAACAACGGCTCTCATCTTTCATATTCAGGATATTCAATAAATACTTTTGCACCACATTTCAAAGGTTTTCAGACAGTGATAGATGACCACAGGCACTGCAGATTAAATGAGCTTTCAGCTACAATACATGTGTTGTGCATTGTTCCTGCTAAATAAACAGTAAAGTGTGCAGGAAACCAGCCAAGCATTTTACCATTTATTGATTCGTTACACTTACCCATTCCTGTACAGGGTCACGAGGGGCCTGCAGCGTATCCCAGCATGCATTTTAACAGCAGGGCTAATGGATTAAAGAGGGGCAGGTAAATAAGTTAACAGCTCTGATATGCCAGCAGTGCAACGAAATGGTAGCACAAACTGAATGAGTTGAAATAAAAGGAAGATAAAACTGAGTGTGATTGATATTACAGTCGTCTCCCGTCTCGTGTGGCTCCGGTTACATTATAGGTTTCATTGCCATCAGCTGACTGTCTTGTAACCTTGTAGACGGCGATGTGTTGTGTAAGTTGAGACAGAGTTTTGTAACAAAGGCTGAATGGTGTCAGTGCGCCTGTGAGCAAGGCACTTCAACCCCCAGCTGCTCCAGTAGACAAGGACTGACTGTGTAGATATACTAACATATATACAGTTTTTTTTTTTTTGTTAGGAATTTAACTCATGAGGAACTTTTTTTTTAAATCTTTTTGGTACAGTACGACTTCCCTGTCTTCTTCTAGTTTATAGAACTCCTTGTGTGATGAGCTGTCTATGATCACACACTTGCTGCTTCCTCAAAATTCAGAGCAAATGCCAATGGTTGAAATATCTCATAGATAAGGGAAGTTTGTCAAATAAAAAAGCAAATAAAAGTGTAAATATACACACGTTTGTTAAAGCTTTGGTTAATTTAGCTTCCTTGTGACGGGTCCTCTTGTTAGCAGGTGTCTCTGGGACTGAGACGAGTTCTCCAGGACATTCTTAGACGTTGTTGAAAACCAGTTTAACTTGTCAGCTCGGTGTGGAGAAATGCTCCTTTTGCTTTAACGGATGCCAATGCTCTCCCCACCCGAGTGTCACGTTAGAAATGTAGCTTGTGGTGTGTGAAGATGGTGTAGATTAATTATTATTTTAGCTTTATGTGACGGGAAATGTGTATAAAATCCTCAATGTGAGCAGCCATTGTTACTTTCTGGTTGTGTTTGAATGTTATTGCAAACCATACTAAGCCACCAACCTTCTATCTCAAATCAAATATTGTTAAAGTGATAATAAAAATGCCCGACTGACTGTGGTTTTGTCCAAGAATGTACTTTTCCTCTGTCAGTATCAGCTCTTTTTCCTCAGAAGTAGCCCATTAAACTTTTTAACACAGACAGGAAGCATCGTTATTTGCATGCGTCTCCCATTAAATGAAAACACGTTGTTTTTATTTCGCCTCAGATAATTGTTTCGGTCCCATAATGACTCGTCTCGACTCTGCTGTCGATATCTTAAATGCAGCGTGAATCAGAAGGGGCTTGACTTCCTGTGTCGTTTCCCGTTTCTGTCCGGAGCTTTTCTTTTTTTGGCGGCCGCCGGTCTGGTAATTGTAGCAGACTGTAGCTCAGACGCTGCCACGTACTCCAGCCTCTTTTTGTTGAGAGAGCCCAGCTGAAGTTGATCCCATGGCTTTGTGTGTGTTTGCCAGAGGAACACTCATTAATAGAGTATTGTCAAGAAAAGTGTTATCACTATTACAAGTTACAATACAAGTTACAATGCACATTTTCTGCTGCTCTTTTCTTTCTGAGTAACAAAAAAATCTGCAATAATAGTGGATTTGCTACTGCTAGCAGTTTCTCAAGGCTGAAGTCAGTTGTTCCACCCGTTATCAGACACTTTGTTCTAGACAGAGTGAGATATCTTGACCACTACTATTAATTAAAAGTCTCCAGAGGATGCCTGTGATCTTACATCTAGTACCAATGTTATTCATATTATTATTCATTATTATTATTATTATTCTTCATTATTCACCATGTTATTCGTTATATTCATGGTCCCTAGAGAATTATTTCAGATGAAATTCATGTTTAAAACCCTTCTGATTTTAATAACTCCAAGATCCTTCCCCCTTGCACCACCTGCAGGACAAACTCCTTACATCCACAACCTTTTGTATTCTGAGGCGTAATCAACACTGCAGGACATTTTGTCTTGTTAAAATAAGTTGGAATGTTATTTTATGTTTGTTGAAATATGCTGAAATCAGTTCACACTGGGCGTACTGTGTGTGTGGGAAACACTGCTGGACTAGAAAGAGAAAGAAAGAGTTCACAGGCTTGTCTTATTCATTCAGTTTATGGACCGTCCTATATTTTTAAATATGTGGAAATAGGATCTCTTCTGACAAGTAAAAGCAGTTTTTATCCAAAAATATTTGAATAATAGAATATTATTAAAACTTCAAAACACAACACGGCAGAAGACAATAGGGCAAAATGTGTAACATGAGGCAAGAACAATGTGGTGGCAAGCAAGAGGCTGATGCTGTGTGTGTGTGAGGATATTAATGTGCGTCTCAAAATCTCTTTCTCTCTCTCTCTCCCTCTCTCTCTCCCTCTCTCGCTCCCTGTCCCTCCCTCCCTCCCTCCTTTCCTCCCAGGAGGTTATGAGGAGTACAGCAGCAGCAGCAGAGCAGCCGGCATGAACGGTAACGGCCCCGCTAAACTTGTGGACCCGCTGGAGGACCCGGTTCCCGGATTGGGCACCTACGAGGACTTCAACACGATCGACTGGGTCAGAGAGAAGAGCAAGGACCGCGACAGACACAGAGAGGTATGAAGAAGAGCGTTTATAAGGAAGAGGAAAGAGCTAGATAATAGTTATCCAGCACGGTTTACTTCACTGTCACACCTTTAATAAGGTGGAGAATCCTCTCTGGGTGTGACAGCTATCGTCAGCACGCAATAAAAACTCTGTGAAAGTTTAAACTCCAGTCAGTCTAACGGAAAACAACCACCATGTATAACATCTCGCTCTTCACGCCCGCTTAGAGTTTATATTTAGAGCTCCACAGTTTCACACATCGAAAACTGAAGAATTGAGGTTATGTACCGTCTGCTGAGTTGGTGGTGGTTGTCAAACTGGTCCACTGTTACAGTGTAAGATGAGTTATGATCTGTTGATGATCTCCGGGGAGGAGTTAAAGAGTTAAAGCACCACAAACATGGTGTACATCAATGTAAACCGTGTGGAAAAGCAGCTGAGCAAAGTAAATAAATATAAAATATGACATAAATATGACGTATTACTGACACCATACACTGTATAGTGTGATAGAATATAGGATGTGTAATGGTAATCCCTTTCTAATATGGATCTCCTCTTGCTGTGTCCATCCAGATCACCAAGAAGAGCAGACAGTCGACTGTGGCTCTGCTGCACAGCGTCAGCGATGCCTTCTCTGGATGGCTGCTCATGCTGCTGGTGGGACTCATGTCAGGTTAGTGCCCTGTGTTTCCTTAAAGCTACGGTCTCTTTTTATTTTGTTTTTTTATGTGTGTTAAATGTAATCAACTTGATCAATAAAGTGTGCTGTTTAATCTTAGAAAAACATTGTTTCTGATGTGGTATGCTTGTGTTTGCTTCAGACAACTTCCTTTGACCTAATTTATGTTTTTGATGTAAAGTTTCCGTATCAGATGTGGTAAAGCCACAGGAAATAAAACCTATAATATCTGCACAGCTAGATTTTGAGTGATGAGTTGCACTGCTGCACTGGCATAAGAAAATAAAGCTAAATCATATGAAAGCACAGGTGTATTATTTATACCCGACGCACAGCTTATCCAGCCTAACTCCAACTGCAATTAGAGTAATATTTATAAATAAAATCTACTTACACGGCTCCTTAAACACAAGATATCAGTGCCTAAACCTGTTCATACCTTTCCTCTTGTTTTCTGTGCTACCTGCGTCAGCTGAAACGAATTCCCACGTGGTGACAGGCAGCTGGTGTGGAGCTACAAAATAGGTCTAACATTGCACTGAAAATAGGCAGGGTGACATATTTCTACAGAAAATGAATATTCATTATGTCGGCTAGAATCCTGGCAGGTGATTCACCTGGCAAACCAAAAAAAAAAGTAAAGTTCAGACACTGCACAGAACACAAGGATGCACATGACATTTGATGATGGATGTTTGCTTTGTACTCATTAACACACCTTCAACCTCAGAGGCCGAACTAACCCATAAAACAACCTCTGTAATGTCCCGTTGTTCTCTTTGTCCTGAACCTGAACCCTCATGCTTCTCTCAAACCAGGCGCTCTTGCCGGCGGCATTGACATCGCAGCCCACTGGCTGACGGACATGAAGGACGGGGTTTGCCTCATCGGCTTCTGGTTCAACCACGAGCACTGCTGCTGGACGTCCAACGAGACGACGTTTCAGGAGAGGGACCGGTGTCCACAGTGGCAGAGCTGGGGTGAGCTCATAACGGGGACGTCAGAGGTAGGAGAACGTTACAAAACTTCATCATCTGAGATCCATGAAGTTTGGATATAGTAGCTCAAGTGTTTGCACAGGGACATTCTGACTAATAAATGTAAAGTTTTTGGATCCAAATGTGAGAATAAAGTATGAAAACTAAATGTCATGATCCAGGACTTTGAGCTACTTCCTGTTTTATCATTATGTCCATATACATGTGGGCCAGTGGCACTCTTCACTAGAAAAGATTTCATGTACAGTCATGCTCTCTCTGACTCATACACCGTACAAAAAAACAAGTGTCATGCACACTAATGGCCTACAAAAAACAGTTGTACTGGTGCTTTGGTTCCACCTGCTGGTTGTAAGCTGCTATGACACAACTCAAATACAGTTTTTTATAAAAGGTTTTCAATCACCTTACTTTACCTATTTTATATGTATGTGTGTGTGTGTTTGTGTTTGTGTGTCCCTGCAGGGTGCGTTCGCCTACATAATGAACTACCTGATGTACATCTTCTGGGCTTTACTCTTCTCTTTCCTGGCCGTCACGTTGGTCAGGGCCTTCGCTCCTTACGCATGTGGCTCAGGAATACCAGAGGTAAACCTGCACTCTACTCATATTATTTCTTTATAATTTGACATATTCATCCCCTTTCTTCATTTTTCCTCAATTGTATTTTGAATTCTTCATCTGTGACATTGTTTGCTTTAGTAATGCATGTCTGTTCATGGACAGGATTTCAACAGGATGACAGACAGGATTTCTAGCCGCACATTCACACGCAACATTCTTGTTATTATTCTTGTGTCTTTGAATAAAAGCAGGAACTATGGCTGCAGGAATAAACCGAGTGTTTGGACAGTAAAGCTGCTCCAAGTCAGCTGTATGCAATTGAGAAAATGCTCTAAAATATGAGCTTTTTCTTTTCTTTACTGTCTGTTCTTCCCTTTCCCCGCTGTCCTTAATTTATTTACATCTGAAATGAAACAGTAAGAAAGATCACTGACATTTGGTTGACTCGAATAAAAGCCCAACTCGTCTCCCTCCGTCCCCTCTACTGTCCTCCCATCAGTGTTTACTTTCTCTTCATCTCTCTTCTCTCACTCTTTATTTCTGAGGAAGTGAAGAGCTGGAGATTCGCTTACACTCAGGAAATACAAGTGGGAAACCTAACTGAGCACAAACATATCGGATCTGATTCACTCATTTCATATATATACAGAACAAAAACACACAAGCACGGCTCTTCCTCGCACACATAAACTCCCTTACTTAATTTCGTGGAACTTGAATCCTGTTCTCCTGAAGGTCTCTTCTCTCAAAGGTCAGCCAGCGGTCAACAGGCCCACGCACACGAGATTAACCGCTTATTTGAAAGATAAATATCTTCCACAAACTCCACTTTCTCTCCTTCCCCTTCCATCAATGTTTACACTCTTCCTTTCTCTTGGTTACACTCTCACACACGCATATCTAAACTGATCCCTCCCTTATATAAACAGACACATAATCACAAATATATCCCCGCCGTCTCTACACACACAAACTTAATCCTCGCAGATACAAACATGCTTTTCTCTCTCTTTCTTTCTCCGTCTCTCCATTCAGATTAAAACCATCCTGAGCGGCTTCATCATCCGCGGCTACCTGGGGAAGTGGACCCTGATCATCAAGACCATCACCCTGGTTTTAGCCGTCTCCTCTGGGCTCAGTTTAGGGAAGGAGGGCCCTCTGGTACACGTCGCCTGCTGCTGCGCTAATATACTGTGTCATCTCTTCACCAAGTACCGCAAGAATGAGGCCAAGCGGCGAGAGGTAGGCTCCGAGGCGGTTGGGTGTGAGGGGATCAACAATGAGGGGATTTTATTGCTAGTTAAAAGATTCAGTGTCCTGGTTTTGGACAGTTCAGCAGGAGAGATGCTCATAAAATGGGCTCTTAAGGGAAAGTGTTGAGATAAGCTCTCTGTGGTTACAAATTCTGCAGTCGTTCGCATGTCAAACAACAAATATTCAGTCTTATTTTATTGTTGTTCTACTTCATATTACAAGAATAAATTAAAATCACTGCATTGGTGCGCTGTGGTTGTGTTGTCACAGGATCACTGGGTTTGATCAGACTAGTCTAATCGACTTTACCAAAGAACATATGTTTACAAAATCAAAACAGCTTATGGCTCGTTCTAATGTGTGTGTGTGTGTGTGTGTGTGTGTGTGTGTGTGTGTGTGGTTACTTAAATCCTGACATAATGAGCTCCTGTCATAGATCGGAGCTCAGAGTTTCATCTTTGTTAAACGTCTCAGTTGCACTGTAATACAACTGAACTGAATTCATATGTTTGTTTTTTCCTTTTACGTGTAGGTGTTATCTGCAGCGGCAGCAGTGGGTGTGTCTGTGGCCTTCGGTGCTCCCATAGGAGGAGTCCTGTTCAGCCTGGAGGAGGTGAGTGCAATTATTTAACTGATTTCCGTCATTCGATTGTTGATACCCTGTCTGCATCTATTTATACTGACAACATCAGAGGATATCTGATGCAACATGAGACCTTAAAATCCACCACAATGTTATAACACACACAAACTGATTTCATTACAGTGAATCACGCAAAGCAGAATCAAAGAGAATCGGAACAATACAGCGAGTGCCAGTAACTTTATCAGTACCAGATAACAAAAGTAATCTGAATTGGTTTTAAAAATTCTTCCACTTCTTGTTTGAATTTCCTGAACATACGACTGTTTTCTGGAGACCACACAGCACTGGCACCCAACTGGGAATATAATAAACCATGACAAAGTGTTTGCAGCGATAGTTTGGGAAATAAATGTTCTGCAGCAGCTTCGTAATTTAAGTTGAGCAAAACACCCTTGGAGGAAGGTTCGGATGAGGATGCTGTTACTTTTTCTCTGGGCACTTAAACCACCTCATAGGGCAGTTCTGAGCCAGAACATTGTTGATTTATATGTGAGATATATGTGAGATATCTATATATTCCACAGTTTTATTTTTATTACAAGAGAAATTATTTATTTCACCACATTTTTGTACAAATATTAATCTTATAAACTACATCTCCTGTCTACAGTTCCACACATTAAACTGTCTAGCCCTTTATAAACGGCACTGATATCATTTAAATTAGTTATTTCATTATCATTCACACATTCAAACACATCTCTTAGTTCAATGTTCTCTCCTTTCCTCCCTTCTCTCTCTCTTTTTCCTCTAGGTGAGCTATTACTTCCCCCTGAAGACCCTGTGGCGTTCGTTCTTCGCCGCCCTGGTCGCAGCCTTCACCCTGCGCTCCATCAACCCGTTTGGAAACAGCCGCCTGGTGCTGTTCTACGTGGAGTTTCATGCCCCTTGGCACCTGGTGGAGCTGGCCCCCTTCGTCCTGCTGGGAATATTCGGAGGCCTCTGGGGGGCGCTGTTCATCAAGGCCAACATTGCCTGGTGCAGGATACGTGAGTAGTGAAGTTATGGTGAAATATATGTGTGGTCTAAACAGTCATTCAAAACCAAGTGCACCTATTAATCAGTGTCTGTCTCTCTAAAAGGTAAATCTACTCGTCTGGGTCACTACCCCGTCACTGAGGTGCTGGTGGTGGCGGCTTTGACCGCCCTGCTCGCCTACCCGAACAGCTACACCAGGATGAGTGGAGCCGAGCTCATCTCTGAGCTGTTCAACGACTGCTCTCTGCTCGACTCCTCTCAGCTCTGCGGCTACAAACAGGTCAGCCTTCGCCTCTGTGTTTATGGGGTTTTGTCATTTTATTCCCACAAAGGAAACAACCTGATTTAAAGTGTTGTTGTTACCATTTGAAGTAATTTGAAGTTTTTTTAAATTTATTTTTCATTTCTCTGCCTGCCTTCTATTCTTTTAATATTGCTTTGTTTTGTCTTTTCTCTATCTTCTCTCTGTTTATCTTACTCTCCTTCTGTACTTCCCACGCATACATTCCAGCCAACGAACACATCAGAAACAGGTGTAGGTAATAGCCTAGCTGACCGGCCCGCTGGAGAAGGCCTGTACACCGCTCTGTGGCAGCTGGCCCTGGCCTTAATCTTCAAGATGATGATCACTGTGATTACCTTTGGAATGAAGGTTAGTCTCTCACACACACACACACACACACAGACAGAAACACATTACAAACGAGTGTTACGACTCTCCTTTGAGCTCTGCTATCGATAAGGCCGATGCTGGTTTAATATGAATGCGCATTCTCTGTGAACTCTGTGCAACATGGCGTGTGAAAGTGCCACGGGGACAGCTGCCTCTAATATGTCTGGAACCAGATTTTGAACCAGCGTCATGGTTTGGTTGACTGAAATTGCTCATCTGGCCCATTTTGCAGTTTTGGATGAAGTGTAATTGAACCTCTGGAGCCTTTATGCATTGGTTTATGTGCTGAGTCACAGCAGTATGACTCACCGGAGGATCAAGTTACTGGTTAAAAAGAAAAAGTAATGGCTGTGGGGTTTACATGTTTATGAAGAAAGATTGTTCCTTTGCCGGAAAATAGACATAAATATCACACTTTTCTCTGCCTCATCTGTACAGTCAGACATATAGCAGCAGTGATCAATAGCTATAACTTCTCCTCCTATAACCCAAAGACGTCTTAAGTGAATCAGTTTTACACCAATGCCTTTAAATCTTCAGCACTTTGTGTTTTACAGCTTGTGAGAATCAATAAATCTCTTCAACTTACCTGCACCTGTAAAGTCTAATAGGTGTATAACTGCAATACCAGATAGCGTCACTAGGTTGTGCCTCCTTGTTTTGTTGTGATGTACACACGCTGCTGCTACGCCGACCGCCATCCAGAACAGAGAAATCTCCTCAGTAACGAGTTGGTGCAGGTTTACTGTCTATGTTCTGCTGCTCATGTATGATTAGTGAATGTAGAGCTGTAGAGACCTGCTGTTGTACGCTCGATGTAATGTACTGCAGTCAAATCTCCAGATTGTTGAACTAGCTACGGCTGCTAACTCTCTTCACCTACACCAGCCACGTTACGCACCCCAGCTGTTATTAACAGTCGAGAGAATAATGTATAGTTTCACAAATATAAATGACTTTGCTGAGCAGCACTGGCTAATACTCCATTGGCTAATACATCTCCATTTGTCCACCCAGGTTCCCTCTGGTCTCTTCATCCCCAGCATGGCAGTCGGAGCCATAGCCGGCAGGCTGCTGGGTGTCGGCATGGAGCAGCTGGCCTACTACAACCACGACTGGTTAATCTTCAAAGGGTGGTGCTCGCCAGGAGCAGACTGCATCACTCCGGGGCTTTACGCTATGGTCGGAGCCGCCGCATGTTTAGGTGAGAGGTGTGCAGCATTAAGCACTTTGGGTTGGCTCTTGATTTGTTTGAAAGACGTAATCTTGATCCTGAGTGAGGGTAAAATGGAGCATGAGAGCAACAGGCTGATCTGTGTTGTAAATGACCTCCGACGAGGTGCGGACAGAGCCGAGTCTGGAGGTGAAGCTTTGATTTAGTGACGGAAATATAAATAATATCACACACCCAAACAGACAAAGTGTCTGGTGAGGAGCTCAGATGCCCAGAAGCATCCTGGATCAGGATGTTTAGTGCGTGCCTCTCCTATAGTGGTATTCTGAGCACGTACAACTGGTAACTCGCCAGAAGGATTAAGATTACATGTTCAGGCTAACTTGGGAATGTCTCGGGATGCCCATAGAGCAGCTGGATGTGGTTGGGGAGACGGACGTCTGGACTACTTCACTCTGTTTGCTACAACTGAAACCCAGACCCCAGATAAGTGGTGCAAAATGGATAGACAGAGGGAGATTTCACAGTGGTTTTGAGTCCCTAATGTCTTATTTCTTTTAAAAAATATGAAAATAATTACATCTTGAAGCATTTTATAATCAAGTTTTCCTTATACTTTTCACTTGTTTTAAAAAAAAAAGGACTCGAGTATAGACAGAAATGCCTTTTTATAAAGGTGGTCATTTGCAGTGCAAACACTAATTCAGACTATTATTTATTATTAAATGTAATTAATTTCATTAATCAGTTGAGTCTTTGATAGGCCTCTCGTGACTGTGAGGATTTCTCCCACCAGTTATTTAAATCACACTTAGGAAACAAATGTACATTATTATAAAGGCTGTGGTTACATTAAGCACTACAACATGCCGACCCAAGCAGGGTTTTTCCCGTATTCGCTGTAGCTGTTTATTATGCCTCAATGGACGACGAGAATTAAGCTTTTACCTCCTTTTTAAACTTCAAGTTGCTCCATCAAAGCCTGAGTGAACCAAGTGCAGTAAACAGATAGCTGGTGTGCTTCGTCACACTCAGGAAATGTTTTGTATAAAAACAGATGGTTACTAAATTCTTACCATGAGGAGAGGGTTTCATCTACTCTGAGCGTTCAGGGTAACAGGGCAGATTCTTCTGTCTCGTAGATCTGGGACAAACGATTCTGAGAGTAAGGTTTCTGAAATATGTTACTAATATATTTGTGTTGCTTTTGTATAATTTTAGTACGTTCTGTACTTTATAGTCCTTGTTAAAGTAATATTTAATGCAAGTGGCCAAGAATCACTTCCAACGAAGAGTAGCCAAAAATCTACTTCTCTTTTTGTGCGCTGTAACATGTCTCTCTCCCACAAAATGATGTCCAAGTGCAACAGCAGTTACCCAAAGGCCTAAATTATAAATGTCCTGTTATTACTCCTGTCCTCAAGTCACTGTTATGGTATGTACACCATTACTCAGGATCTGTTTATTATTCTTTTTATGTATTCAGGTTTTATTTATCGGTATGTGTCTTTACCACTCAGTGTATTTGCGTTGTAGTTTTTAATTTCTCCCACATGGATCAATAAGGGAACATCTTATCTTATCTTCTGAAGTTTTTATGTGTGCTCACCAAAGCAAATTCCTCTTATCTGAATCTTCTCTGGACCCTCATCAGGCTGAGAAAACAGCACCAGTCACAAGTCAGAAACTGGTAAACTTTAGCTGCGTCTGGTGAGTTTGTTTCTCTACCAGCCCGTAGGCTTAAACAGGTAGCCCTGGAAACTGAATAACACAAGCGTCTGGAGCATGTGAGTCTTTGGCCTTGGTCGAGATAAATTGAAAAGATTTTGATGGACTGTAATTTACATTGTTAGCTTCTTTGGCTTTCACGGTTTTGCATTAAAAAGATTGATTGTAAAATAACTCCGTTTGAGGATATTGGACAATATCTCTACTCAGTAATCTTCATTCTCTGGCTGAAAAACACATGTGAATGGACTTTAAACTATAGAACAATTGGCATCAGGGAACAATTTTGAGAGCATATAATCATCTCCATTTTAACATTTTTGAAGTTCAGAGCAACTAACAAAAGAGAACTTGTTTTTTTTATCCCCCTTTTAAAGTGGATGTACAACACTCACAGTGAAACCCTTTCATGTCCAGTTGACTTAAGCTAGTTGTTTAGAGGAAGGAAGCCACAGAAGATGAAACTGTGGCATCAAGTTAAAAGTGTAGCCTTGGTTTCTGGCAGCACCCATCAAGATGATTATATGATTGGATTCAGAGTGGAACCACTGACCTATAAGTGACAACATTTCCACAAAACAATGAGGGGAAAATAAAGAGCCCAAACTTTCAGATAAAGAAATGTCAAAATCCATTTGTGTGGCAGTAAATGTTTTTGCTGCTTTCTTGTTTATCCAGACAAACTACTCTTTCTCTAAATGGTAGCAGGGTGACATAACTGTAGTATTTACCCTCTGCGTGTGTTCAAACACAGCCTTTATAATACACTGTATTAAAGTTCAAATGAATCAGACAACTAATCATTTAACATTTAACGTGTCACCTTCTGCTGTCTCCCTCCAGGTGGAGTGACACGTATGACGGTGTCGCTGGTAGTCATCATGTTTGAGCTGACTGGCGGTCTGGAGTATATTGTCCCCCTCATGGCTGCAACCATGACCAGCAAATGGGTGGCAGATGCTTTTGGAAGAGAGGGAATCTACGAGGTGAGGTGTCCGTTTATGTGTGATGTGGTATTCCTCAACTCTTCGCCGTATGAAGCGCTGATGTTGCAACACAGATTCCTTGTTTCTGTTTGCACGCTGCAAGTTGATTTCTTTTTAAAGAGGTTTGTTTCAATGGTTCTGCAGGCTCACATAAGGCTTAATGGATACCCGTTCCTGGAGCCTAAAGAGGAGTTTGAGCACAGCAGCCTGGCTGTGGACGTGATGAGGCCCAGGAGGTCGGACCCGGCACTGGCTGTGCTCACACAGGAGGGGATGACTGTAGGAGAGGTCGAGGTATGGACACATGACGTACATCGAGTAGATCATAACACACTGGAATGCAGAGCAGAAAAATAATAAAAGGACACATTGATATGGAAAGCACATGTGGTTATATAAAAGCAAAACATGTAAAAATGGACACAGATTCTAAAACTGTAGAAATTAAATAAAAAATCTAAAGAATTCATGTGGATCTGTAGATGTTTTACTTTATAACAGACTGTTTTATTTGTCCCCCAGACCTTGGTGGAAAGCACCCACTACAGTGGCTTCCCTGTGGTCGTCTCTCAGGAGTCCCAGAGGCTTGTGGGATTTGTACTCAGAAGAGACCTGCTCATATCAATAGGTCAGAACCGTGTGTGTGTGTGTGTGTGTGTGTGTGTGTGTGTGTGTGTGTGTGTGTTCATAAGACCATCAGCTGAAGGCTAATGTTGTGTATGACGCCTTTTTATTTTGAAAATCCTTCCAATGTTAGACATCCTTATTTGTGTTTCTCACTTTAACGTTAATCCCCAACTCCCTTCAGACAACGCCCGAAAGCGCCAGGAGGGCATCGTCAGCGCTTCCCAGGTGGTCTTTACTGAGCATGCTCCAGCTCAGGCTCCTGAAGCTCCGCCACCCCTCCGCCTCAGAGGGATCATGGACCTGAGCCCCTTCACGGTCACCGACCACACGCCTATGGACATCACTGTGGATATATTCAGGAAACTGGGGCTACGCCAGTGTCTGGTTACACATAACGGGTGAGGACAGACGTGATTTTCTTTAAAGAGGAATTACTAAAATGTATTTTTGTCAGGTTAGAAAATCAGCATTTTACTGTTGCGTAGCATTTAAAGACAAGGAAAAGAAAGGAAGAAGGGGACTGATAGATGGGAGGAAAGACTGACGAAGACATAAACTGACCACACCCCCACGCCTGCAGACATTAAAGTGAGATATCTTCAGGAATTGTGCTTGTGGAAAGACGGAAGGAGTGACCGATGAATGTATAGGAGAGCCCCCGGGGTCATTCTGCTGTCAGGTCATACATTAAAGGAAAAGCAAGGAGACACAGGAGTTAGGGAGGAAGTCATAGTCGGTTAATGGAGGGAGAGGAGAGAGATAGTCCAGAAAACCTTTCAGGTGTATTTACCCAAATCCACTTCACTGCCACTGACCTCATTACCATAAACTTTACCGTGGACGTTTGCAGAGCCCCTTTCAAAACGTTGTATCTAGCCGGGTTCATCTATCTGTCTATATAACGGCCGCTGGGCTTTCATACGAACGTCTTTTTATCACAGATACGGCAGCAGAGAAAACTTGCACGGTATTTGGCATCTGGCCTACGAGGAGAAAGAGCAGTGCTCCAGTTTCATGCGATTACTGTGTTTCACGTAGCTCGTATAATTTTATCTCCAGAGTTAAATCCACCCAGTTTTAAAGTCAAGTCTGTGATCAAGACGTGATTTATGGACTGTTTGGGAAACTGAGCAGAGGACGAGTGTGTGTTCTGCATTTTGATGTATTTTTTTTTCTTTCTCTGCTAAGCCCCGGCCTCCCTGGGAGCTTCTATTTAAAGGAGAAAAGAAGTTAGAGAAATGGTAAAACAGCGGCGAGAGGTTCTCTTGTCAGGATGTCCTAAAGCAACTTCTTTTAAGTGTGCTTTAGGGGCTCACTGGCACACGTGGCTATATAGACGGATGGAATACTTTTATCGATTAATCAGTCGATCGCTGTGTCTATAAAATGTTTCCTAGAGCGAAGGTGATGTTTTCAGATGTCTTGTTTAGTCCAAACTCTAAAAACTCCAGTTTATAATGATACAAGACAGGAAATATTCACATTTTAGTGGTTAGAACCTGCAAATTTCAGGCATTTCTACAAAGGTTAACTGCAGTATGTTGGTTTAAATGCATCTGATAGATGAGTAAGCACAGCCGCGATATAAAGCTTTCTACTTTGATACAAACTAAGACTGAAGCTGCTGTGTTTAGTGAGTTATTTTTTAAAAAAATGGGGGTTTAACTTCATCCAGACATCCACCATAACTTTTCTTTTTCACTTTGTGTGCCGTCGTCTCGCCCTACAAAACCTCTTCCAGCTCCACCAGGGCAAACATTTCACACACATTGGCACTGTTATCTAGAATTACACTCAGACAGACCAGAACATAAGATACTCCCAGTGAGAATTAACTTAATCAGTGTTTCATTCATTTTTCCACTTCATTTCCTCGTCGTCTAGCATGTTTACACACACACACACACACACACACACACACACACACACACACACACACACACACACACACACTCATACCTCAGTTGTTTAGATGGGGATCTGACATGTTCAAATACACAGCTCTTGGGAGTGGGATTGTATATATTTATACAATATCTGTATATGTAATATGAATGTAAGTGTACAGAAACCAACTCTGGCTTTTAGTAGCTTGCACACATATCTCAGACTAACTCGTGGATTCTCTCGGTCTCTCTCTGGTCATAGACTAAAGCAGCCGTTGGGAAACTGATAAAGGAGGGAAGAGATAGTTTGGGCTGTTGTTCAGCTGCACAACACAAAAAATAAAGCAACTTTAGCAACTTCAATCACAGTAATCACACAGATCATACCCACTAGTTCACAGTTTTTACTCAGATTAAATCAAGAGGCTGGGATGGTTTCTAGATCAAAAGCCCTAATTTTATTTTTTCTCCACTACGTTACTGTATTTTTATTTCCCACTGAGCCGCGTCAAAGACACATTTTATTCACCTACAATAAAGTTCCCTTCTTTGCCTTTCTTCTGCTTCTGGGCATCGAGGTTTAACACTGGAGCCTACACTCCCCATAATGCAACTCTGTACCATCTTTCATTCCATATCATTTCTCTTCCTGCCTTCTAAAAGTGCATTTCTACAGTGCAACATCAAATAAATGCTTAGAAAATCAAGTTGTAGCATCCAAGCCCCAGGTAACCCCTGACAACATCATTATGATATTATTATTTATTATATATATTATATAAAATACAGTGTAGAGCTCCCTGTAACCTGCAAACTAATCTTAATGTGTTCAATCAGTGGCGGGCCCTTTAATATTTCTCCGACTGACAGAAATTATGTGGACTCGCTGGTTCGACTGTAATTCAAACCAAAAAAGAAAAAAAGAACTAAAAGCCGCTGTCAACAAAAGCCTCACGAGCGTCCTTGAGCTCGACTCGACATGTTTACTTCTCGGGCATTTAGCCGCCGCTCCCCACCAGAACATCTTATTATGAATGAGCCATTTAAGATTCACTCGCTGCCTCGTCCGCGGACACGTTTGACATCGCACACGGCTGTTGACAGGCACAATGGCTCCGGCAGGACTCGCACATATTTGCTTCAGATGGGCTGCTTGTTTGGCCAATAATAGAAGGGATGGGGTTTATACCAGAGTGGATCCACGTGTGACATGAAGAATGGAACATTTTTTGTGTGGAAGCGCATGCTCCTTAGGGGACAAGAGGGGGGCACATGAAAGGGGGGGCAGCGGAGGGAAGGTTTTGGGCTCCAGGCGAGAAGGAGGGAGAAGAAAGTCGTCTGCTCTGCTTGATCAGGCAGGATCTGTGTTTGTAGAGCCTGCAAATCACTCATTGTCTGGGGAGTGAAGATAAGTTTGAAAGACCTTGAGGCGGCGTAAAGTGCAGCGTATCATCTCTTAGATGGAAACTGTTCATTTCTGACTGGCAGAGAGGGTATTTTCCCAGGCTATCTTTAGTTCAAGGCTGCTTCATTGGCAGGAGTCGTATCTCACCGAGCTTCTGCCTGCTTTAAATGTAGCTCCACTTTATTTTGCAAAACAGGCTCCCTTGTAAGAGCTTTACTCAGAAAGAGGACACATGATTATTATGACAGAGACCACAAAAACATCCCCCTTTAGCCTTGAAAATGTCTGAAGAGTGTGGTTATTTTTTCGTGGTTTCATGTTTTCACTCTGTATATTTGTTATCCCGTTCACACCCGTCAAAGTCACATTCGCTGGCTCAAATGTATGAATGAATCAGTCCCGTCAGATAATGTGTTTTGTCGTGTGATATTTACTCGGCAACAGACGATTCCGAGGGGACTTCTGGGCGGCGCCGTCCATTTTTGTAGAAATATTTAACAGCTGCTTGTTTTTTTTATTATTTTGTTTTTCAGTAAAGGATAAAGCTGGTGATATTCAATATTTTTATTACTGTCAACATATCCTGTGAGAAGACCAAAACCAACAATGTGCTAGTTCATCTCTCAACACTTCCTCACATCCTGACTCTCTCTGTGGCTCTCAGCCCAACGCCCATTGGTTCCTACTGAAGAAATCTTAAAAAAGTGGTTCATGGATATATATTTTTCTGTCTTTTCGTAGAAAGAGGATTCACTTCTCTTTTTAGAGGGATAGTCAGTAGCTAGTGAGTATTTACAGCAGCAGGATGGTGTTTGTTGACTCAAAATAAATCACAGTGGCTGTGTTTATGATAATAAAGTAACATCTAATCCTTTTAAAGGTCCAGTGCGTAACATTTATTTATTGGCAGAAACTGAAATATAATATTCATAATAATTAGTGTGTAGTAATCAACTTTAAATAAGAACTTTTGGGGTGTTTACCTTTTAAGAATGAGATGTACTCAGCTAGGATGCAGCAAGGATGTACAGGGTTCACATACATCCTGGAAAATCTGGAAATTTAGACCAAATATATTCTGGAAATAATCAATGTAGTCCTGAAATGTCAGTAGGAGGCAGGATGACCAGATTGTGAAGCAGAGCAACATTTTTTGCTTTCATTTAAGAAAAAGGAAGTCAATACGAGGTCTACCGGTAAATTATACGACTGTTTGTGAGCAGGTGCTGTCCTGAATTGTCAAGAAAAACTTCTGGAAAAGGATTTCTTACAAAGAGTGGGAACACTTGAGTAAGTTTTTCTGAACAGCATCCACAAGTAACTACTAAGCTAATGGTCGTAGCAGACTAAGTAAAGCTGCAGTAGTAAAAACTGAACTGAGCATTTTATTGCTTATAAATTCAACATTTTGTAAACAATGTTTTAATTTCATCCCTCTAAAGTCACAGTCTCATTTTCATGCCGCCCGTTCCTTCAGTTCACATCGTTTGTGTCCAAATATGAAACATTTCTTTTGATGTCTTTCTCTGAATATCTTTGAATTTGTCATCTGCCTACAAACTGATTTCCCTCTGGCTCCGACCCCGTTGAACCACAAGCTGCCTGCTTTTGTCTTTTGTTTTGAAGGGGAATGAAATGTTCTGGGGAGTGTTGCGCAATTAATCACTGCACATCAGATACCAGTTGTCAGCTCCTGTTTCTCTCTCTATACACACACACACACACACACACGAACCCTGGAGGAGCTGGATTTGACTTTTATTGAATAATGTCACTTGTTTTTTTGTTTTTTTTTGGTGTAACCTAACTGTCCAGACTAACAAACATATTTAGAAGTGTCTGTTGTAATCGGCTTTGCTGTGGTCCTTGGCCTCCTTCGCTCTGTTTACTCTGTATGTTTTTTTTCGTGTTCCTCTGATCTCCTGCTGCGAGCCAGATTCCCTCTGGGTCTGTAATAAAACTGAACGTAGCGGCAATCTCAAGACAGGAGGCCAAACCCTCCACCCTCTGCTTTCTGTCACTTCTCTTCACTTTCCATGACGAAGCAGACAAAGTATGATATGAAGTAATCTCCTTTTTGTTCCCTTTTCTCTCTCTTTCTCTCTCTGTGTGTCATCAGGAGGCTGCTGGGAATAATCACTAAGAAGGACATACTGAAACACATGGCGCAGATAGCCAACAGAGACCCCGACTCCATCCTCTTCAACTGAACTCCTCCATCCTTCCTCTTCGTCATCCTTCCATCGCTCCTCTGTAGACCAGGGGAGGAGAAGACACCAGCTCGCACTCTCCAAAAATGCACCTTTTAACCCTTTTCAACTTTTTAAAACGGCTGTTCAGGGAAAGCCAAGTAAGTTGAGCTCCATTTGCACAGGCGACAGAGAACAATGGAAGTTTTGTTTTTTTGGGGGTTTTTTTTGTAGGATGGAGGCGTTTTTGGCCAATGAGAGAAAAAAAATAGCTCTCAGAAACAATGACTCATCCTTAACTGACACTGCAATTTCATATTTAACCCAGAAGGACGTAGGACAGATACACATGAGAAATAAGTCAGTGGAATATTTCACATCTGCTCCTTTTGGCTTTTTTTCATTCTCCTTTTATTTTGAAAGAAAAAAAAAAGTGAGAAAATATCACCCTCCATTGGCCGTCTCGCTTCTCTGCTACACCTAAAGAGAAAAATAAACACTTTAAGAAAGGAGGTTGGGAACAGATAATCCTCTGTTACGGATACTGACAAGAGGCGAGGAAGAGAAATAATGACATCAGGGGAAGATAAAGAGGGTTTGGGGAGCTCCGTGCCTGCCCTCCGGCCGTCACAGCGAGCCCGGGCAGAGCACTCTGAGCCCTGGCTGATGGATGCTCCACCCTCCTCTTCCCTCCCTCCTCCTGCGAGGTTTCCTGTAGCCTCGGGTGCGACGTATACAGGAGTGTGAGAAGAGGATCTAATACACACACTTACACTCCATAAAGACTTCATGACAGCCTGGGAACTCTCCTGAAATGTCTTTTTGTCTTATAGACTCTATATCAAGAGAGATTTGTAACACGGCGTGAGACTCCAGCCTGGGAACTATGCAGCGCCGACCCGCTCCGATTGGCATCATGAACAGTTACAAAGTTAAAATCATACACGCATAATGACAATGCTGCAAAAACAACCATGTCAGGCCTTATGGAAGGGTTTCTGGGCTGCCGTGGAAGGGCTAAAAATACAAGAAGAGAGAGAATCATGACACATGAATTAATTTATGTAAATGTTAAATTGTTTGTCCCACTAAATTATTTCACTGACGTAAAAATGTTTTGTGTCTGTTGTTTTGTTTTTTTTTGTTTGTTTCGGATCCTCATCCTGTGGATTTAACGTAAAAAATACATGATTTTATGAAGCTCTCATTCTAACAAATCTCTTGTTTTTCTTTTATTAATTAGATAAATAGAAAATAAGCAATCTGACTAGAAAAAATGAGAATTCTCTGAATGTCTAAATATTCTTAATGGTATTTATACATTTGCTAACAACCTAAACACATCCAATTAGGGATTTGAACAGTTTTAAATTCAATAATTTGATTTGTTTTCACCACCTTCAGTACCACTGCAGTCTGATCTGAGCTCCACTGGAGGAGTTGGGGTTCAGGGCCTTGCTCAAGGGCCCCTCAGTAGCTGTAATGAGGAAAAGAGCAAGCACTGCCTTTCACCTTCTCTAACTTTTAGTCCACCACTGCTCAGATTTGACACTGGATCCAGATTTAAAAAGAACAATAACCCTCCAAAAATGTAAAATTCAGGACGCAGATGGAGACAAGGTCCCTAATAATCCCAATCTCAGTTAATCAACTCCTGAACCCTGGAGGTCGTAGTCGGCGTATCGCTCATGGGCACAGCCAGCTGCCAGCTCAGACGTTATATCACCATCCAGTTCCCTGCCGGTCCTCCTTTTCCTGAGCAGAATAATATTATTCTAGACTATTTTTTATCACTTTACAGTCTGGGCCTCATGCTCTTTTTTCACCCCGGGACTCATAAAGTTCGGGGCCTATGGTTTCTCGTCTCCATGCGCTTTATTTATCCACTAAATTGATTTTCTGTTTTTCTTTTTTTCACTCCCGTCGCACCTAGGGAGTTCAGCTCCGTGCTGCCAGTAAACACATTCCACGAGTGCAGACATTTTGAGGACCCGACCTGACACTTAAGATGACCTTTATAGGAGAAGCATGGTCAGTTCGGGCACAAAAAGATAACGTGTCCTGGCAACAAGCACTTGGCGACTAGCCAAGACTAGCTGGTGAACATTTAGTAGCTAAAAAGACAAAAAAAATGGAGCTTAAAGTGAATGCTGATGTTGCTACGTGTCTACTGGATGTGTACACAGCCAACTGTTTGCTAACAAGTTGTGTTATATCAACTTCATGAGGCGATCATTTGTTAGCTGCTTGTTTCTGCTGCCCCCAAGTGGTCAAAATCCACTTATTGCAGGGTTAACATTAACTTAACAGTCAGTCATCTGAATAGAATAGTTAGCACTGTGCTGCTAAACTGATATTAATGAATAAACCACCCAGAGAACTAGCCTCCAGTCTCTAATTTCCAGATTTTCCAGACTAGATAATAGTTTTCCAGTCATAGAAACACCTGGAAATTGATTAAAATGACCAAATATCCTGGAAATAATCTATGTGGTCCTGGAAAAATTAAGATATAGGCTGCGGTGAGGACTAACGCTGGAGTGTCCGATAAACGCTGACCACCGAGACACCACCGATCGACCTACCGGAAAATTATACGACCGCTTCTGAGCAAGTGTCGAGACAAACCTCCTGGAAAATGTCTGGGAAAAAAAAGGTCCTGGAAAAACCTGCAGAGGACAGAGCGTGCTCTTCATCATGTGGCGTTCACAAAGAAAACGTTTTTTTTGTTTTTGTTTGTCCGTTGCATCAAATCGATTGTTTGATTTGTTATTGCAGTCGGATGCGTCACCAGGACGATCTCGCACTACCAAGAAGATTTAATCCCTGAAACGAGCCCGACTGATACAATTTGACTGCTGTTGTTGTACGGTGTGCGCCAGCGTTTTGTCATGTCTTCATCAATACATCTGTTTTCAGTTGACATGCGTTGCAAGACAAACCCACTGCATGAATTAGTCTCGGCCTTCATTTTGTGATTTATTATGTTAAGTTACCGCCAGAGAAATAATCCTTTTCGAAGTCGTGTTGATTCGTTTCAGATAATTGGCCCTGATAATCCCCGATGGTTAGATTCAGTTTGTAAGTGAATAACAGCCACATACAGGTGATTAAATGCTCAGCTAATTACCATAAAATCATTTCTGATTTGATCTAATAACTCTAAACACAAGTACTCAGTAATTACTTAATTAAAAACCTCACACTTAGCTAGAACACAAACTGGATAGGTTGAATCGTGGTTTTGTGGCGTCCAACCGTTAGCTGGGTTAGGTTTCAGCTCTATGTGACCTCTGCAAAGGATACGTGGGTAAAGATAATGGATGGATTTATGATTGTAAGCCTTCAGCTGCCAGTGGGACGTATGGAAAGTGTATTTTTAGTTGGAAAAGGTTCAAATTAACAGATTAACATGTAAAACCTTACAGCTTTTTACCAGTTTATTCTCCTACATTATCACGCCTGTTGAGAAATCTGTTGGAAATAAAAAAAAAAAGTGTTGTTTTTCTCTCTTTTCTAGTAAAATACTGAGAGCTTTAACCCTTTTTACAGTCCTCCCTAAATGAGTCAGACGAGGAGCTAAATTCACTGTTTTTGTATGCAGTCTGGGTCAGCAGTAAACATTTAGTTTTTAAGGGGTCACAAGCCAAAAAGGTTGGATTACTGCGCAGCTCCGTCGTCCCCTTAAGGGGGTCAGGGGAGGCCAACCCCTAAAGCCGGAGCTCCAGTTTGAAGTCAGTGTTTAGAGTATTTAAAGTTTGTTGTTGGCAAGTCAAAGGGCTTTTGAACCACATAGCCTCTAATGCAGATGATCCGAGTCCGATCAGGTTTGTGATTTTGTGTTATTTTTATCCGCGGCAGCCAGTTTGGTTCCTGTCTGAAATATCTATTGGATAGAATCACTGTGAAATTTATGTATTTATGGTCCCAGAAGATACATTTCAAGGACCCCCGACCTTTCCACTACCACAGTGTTCACATTTTGTGGTTTTAACTGGTTATGAAACAGTTCAATACCGATCCCCCACACACAAGAGACCATCAGGGAGAAGACTGGCTCTTTCTGTGCAGTTGTAACTGCCACCGGGTCGGATTCGGTTCCCCTTGAGATGGAAACACTACCACTTTTGTCCACAGGGGGCGCCAGAATTAACAAAAAATGAAAACTCCTTAAAGCTGCTTTAAGTTAAATGTCTCAGCAAGGTTTGGATGGATTACCATGAGATTTGGTACAGACGCTCGTGTCCCCCTCAGGATGAACTGTACGAACTTTGGGGCAAGTTCTGCTTGTTGAGGCCAGAATGAGCTGTTTTTAGATATGGTTGACGGCACAATACGAGACCAGGAAGTACCCCCTTTACGTGGTGTTACATGTGTGCTTTTATATGTCTGTGCCCAGGAGCTCATTGTCTCATAACCTGCACATACTGACCCCTGAGTGTGTGTGTGTGTGTGTGTGTGTGTGTGTGTGTGTGTGTTCATACTGCAGACCCCTCTGGGTTAAAGGTGTCATTCTTGACTCACCGTCTCCGACTGCGAGTCAGAGCTCGTTCCTGTCTACATAATCTCTGTGAGAAGGAGTTCAGAGCGGCGAAGATGGAGAGGAAGTGTGTGTGTGTGTGTGTGTGTGTGTGTGTGTGTGTGTGTGTGTGTGTGTGTGTGTGTGTGTGTGTGTGTGTGTGTGTGTGTGTGTGTGTGTGTGTGTGTGTGTATTCATGAACTCTTCCATGTTATGTGTGGCTGGACTCGTGTGAGAATGTGTGTGTGTGTGTGTGTGTGTGTGTTTGTTTTGGGGGGGAATGTGAGTGCATTGTAGCTTGTTAGTAATGACTCAGTGTATTCCTGAGCTCAGTTCCTGTCGCTGGGACTTCACATGGGGCTCGAGTTACTGACTGCTTGTTGTTGGCTTCTGCTGCATTCTCACACCTCAAACACACAAACACACAAACACACACACACACACACAGATTATCCATCTTCTACACTGTCTTTAATTCCTCCTTTTTCTTTGAATATAATTTATTTCACACTGTTTTATTTCTCGTGGGTCTTTAATCTGTGTTTCTCTGCTTCTCTCTCGTATCAGTCATCCCGTTCCCAGGCCTGCCACATTGTCTCGGTGCACATTACAAAGCAGCGCAAACATTTCAGTGTGGTAATGGGGCAATTCAAGGTGTCACCCTACACCCCCAAAAAGTGTCAAATCTCTTACCTTACCTTTCTGTCTCTGTGTGTGTGTGTGTGTGTGTGTGTGAGTGTGAGCTCATCTCTTTGCATCTTAAAGCATGTAAAGAGATGACGTGGGTGCATTCTCCCGAGAGCGAGCGAAATATTGGAGCGTGTGTGTGTGTGTGTGTGTGTGTGTGTGTGTGTGTGTGTGTGTGTGTGTGTGTGTGTGTGTGTGTGTGTGTGTGTGTGTGTGTGTGTGTGTGTGTGTGTAATCCAATCTGCTCTACAGTGTGAAGAGTCTCTGCCCTCTCGGCCTCACCTGAGGTTATAAGGTGAAGGTTCCCACAGCTTCAGTCGCAGCCCGCCGCTCACCTGAACACAGTATAATCACACACACACACACACACACACACACACACACACTCAAAAGCATGCCTCAAAGAATCAGTTCGGTTTCGGAAAAAAGTTAAAGATAAGGAAGTTAATCGAGGAAGTTGTCTCAGTGTCGTGACTGCAGCTTGTGTCAGATAATCGGACTCTGATTGTTTACGCTGATTAAACACAAGTAGTCTGAGTCTTCCTGCTCTCAAACAATGAACAGTATATTCAAAGCTCAGTTAATGTGAACTCAACAACTAATGTAATGTAATCATCAATCAGAATATCCAGCAACCATCCAATATAACTACTAATTCCTGACAAACCTTTTCCTCGGGATGCACATTAACTATCAGGGCAGATACATTTTCATCCAATAATAGAAAATATATATTATTATGAATTATCGGGGTAATTAAATTACAGCTAATAACTTAATAATAATCCATAGTAATGATTTCTTTTGAATTATTATGATTGATTGGCTTTATGTTCTATCAAAGTGTTTTAATGAACTTTTACTAGAAAAAGTAAATCAACATTTGAAGAGTGAGAACGGTTTGTTG